GTTGTCTGTTCTGTTTATGCTGGATATTATGTTCTGTGCCTTCAAGACTGGCTCTGAAAAGCCAAGTTTTGTTTTGTTATCAGCCTGCTCACTCCCCCGCGGTCTGCTGGACACAGACAGTGGTACATAGTGCTGCTTTACTTTTTGCTTTTTGCTTTCACTTTTGCTCTTGCTCTTTGCCCTTGTTCCTGCTTCTGTTGGCTTTTGCTTTTTGCTTGTTAGTTAGTTTAGCTGAGCAGTCCAAATTTTATCCTGGACTGTTTTTCTTTCCCTTTTCTTGGAACCATTCAAACCTGCTCCGGACTGGGACCTGGAAAACACCGGGAGTTTGCACTTTGTGGCCTGCAGCAGCCATGCCCAGAGCCAGAGGAACCGAGAACAGAGCGACCACTCCCAGGAGAGATTTTCTGAATTTGTCATCTCTTCAGAGCAGTGAAAGAGTTTTGTCATCTGATGTTGTTCGTTCTTTGTGCTGGGGAGTGCTTTGCCTGTTAAATAAACAGGGTTTTTTCCACTTGTCTCTGAGGAAATTCTTCCTGAACCAGGTGGGAGGAGGGGCCGTGGGGGTTTGCATTCTGGGGGCTCCTTCCAGAGGTTTTCTCCCAAATTTGCCCTAAACCAGGACAATTGTGAAGCCACTTCTGTTCCGGGAGCCTGACTGGGAGGCAATTGGCCCCAAAATTTGGGGACAAGATATTAATGACCAAAGTGCTCCTGGCAGCAGAGACAAGACAGGCACAGAGGTGTAGGAACTCAAAATGTCCCTCAGACATTTTTAGATGTTCCAGAAGAATTTTAGATCCTGGCAGGCAGCTGGAAACAGCTGGGATTTTGGGTTTGAGCCATGGAATGAGTTACCAACTTTGGAGGTGGAACAAACAATCACAAAATGCTGGATAATATAGTAAAATTAATTACAAACAGAGGGGAAATTTTTTTATTATTGTACAGGGGGGTTTTAGCACTTGTCCAGGGGGGTTTTCACTTTGTCCACGGGGGTCAGAAGTTCTAAGATGGAGGAAAGTGGGCTGACCCTGTTCTTCCTCCTTCTTCTTCCTCACCTCCATGTTCTTGGTGACGTTGGCACTCACAGATGGGTTTGGAGTAGAAAAGCACTTTGTGATATAGGTAGTGGGTATTGGAGGGAAAACTATAAATATGTAATGTGTAATATATCATGATAATATATCATATAAAAGATGGCAGCAGCAAATCTTTTCGACGACTCACCCTCGCGACGTGGCCCTGCTGCCACCGATAGCAAAAGGGAGTTAAACCCACGGGGATTTAAGGTTAAAAGGAAAATTAAGCTTAATTAAGCTTAATTAACCCCAAAAAAAATAAATACCCTGGGTGCGTGAAGGCCGTGTGCCTTGCTGGAACTGCACCTGTACACGATAAATGATATAATCGTTGGATGTGATGATTGTTTAGTAATTAAATATAATTGCTGTTTAATCGTGAGGATAACCATGAGAAACTGCGGTCTCATTCAGCTCATGGCTGAATGAAGTCAATGTATAGAAAAGAACAATATAAGTTTAATAGTTAATATGTAAATTATGGAACGATAGAATATAAAATAAACTTTGTAGGGCCTGGAAAAATAAATACGTTAAGCACACGGAGGACTTTTGCTTGCTGGAACTTCACCTGTACATGATAATTGATATAATTGATAGATGTGATGATTGTTTAGTAATTAAATATAATTACTGTTTAATCATAATAATCGTGAGAAACTGGGCAGAGGCTAAGAAAGATCACGAGAAACTCATGTCAATGTATACAATAGAACAATGTAATTTAATAATTAATATGTGAGTTATATAAGGATAGAATATCGAATATGTTGAGTTTGAAATCCGTGTGGGGTCAGATTTGGGTCTGCGCCCCTGATTCCAAATAAAACCACGGAATCACATCCCGGGATTTTGGGTGCTCCTGAACAATGCAAATTTAATAATTAATATGTAAATTATACAAGGATAGAATATAGAAGATGTTGAGTTTGAAATCCGTGTGGGGTCAGATTTGGGTCTCAATAAAAGCCCCTGCACGGAATCACATCCCGGGATTATTTGTGCTCCTGAACAATGCAAATTTAATAATTAATATGTAAATTACACATGGATGGAATATCGAATATGTTGAGTTTTTAGGAACATGAGACAACTGTGGGCCTCCTGTGCTCTGAAACCAACTGAAGAATGGGAGATCTACCAAGAGCTCGTTTGTCACGATTGCATTGAAAAGGTAGAAAGGTCAGAACGAGGAAAAAAATTAATTTACTTCCTCATTTTGGGACCCCCCGACCCATTTCGAGGGACAAACCACGTGTGTGGAATGGCTTTTGGAGTGATTAGCATAGGAAATGATTAGCATATGAAGTGATTAGCATAGGAAATGAATAGCACAGGAAATGATTAGCACAGGAAGTGAGCAATGGGATGTACCAAAATGATGAATTCGGATTTATATTTTGGGTTTTCAGTAATTAATCACTGGGAAGCTGTGGTGTGGAGCCTTTTATCCATCCAAGTATCAACACCCAAAATACCATAAACACACAATTTGTAAATTTAAAATTACAGTTTTTGTCCGTCACAGCTGGATATCGATGCCGGATCAATATCCACATTTCTTTAATAATTTGTGAACACACACTTCGTAAATTTAAACTGTTGGCGAGTTTTTGTCCGTCACAGTTTGGATATCGATACCGGATCAATATCCACATTTCTTTACTAATTAGCAAACACGCACGCTTTGTAACTTTAAATTGTTGGAGAGTTTTTGTCCGTTACCATTGGATATTGGCAATAATCAATATCCACATTTCTTTAATAATTTGTGAACACACACTTTGTAACTTTTAAATGTTGGAGAGTTTTTGTCCGTCACAGCTGGATATTGGCAATAATCAATATTCACATTTGTCAATAATTTTTAAGCACACACTTTGTAACTTTAAACTGTTGCAGAGTTTTTGTCCATCACAGTTTGGATATCAATACCAGATCAATATCAACATCTCTTTAATAATTAGTAAACACACGCTTTCGAACTTTAAATTTTAGAAAGTTTTTGTCCGTCATAGCTGGATATCGATACCGGATCAATATCCACATTTCTTTAATCATTTATAAGCGCACACTTTGTAACTTTAAACTGTTATGGAGTTTTTATCCGTCACCGTTGGATATTGGCAATAGATCAATATCCACATTTCTTTAATAATTTATAAGCACAAACTTTCTAACTTTAAACTGTTGGAGAGATTTTATCCATCACAGCTGGATATCGATACCAGATCAATATCCACATTTCTTTAATAATTTGTGAACACACACTTTGTAACTTTAAAATGTTAGTTTTTGTCTATCACAGCTGGATATTGGCAATAATCAATATCCACATTTCTTTAATAATTTATAATCACACACTTTGTAACTTTAAAACGTTACGGAGCTTTTATCTGTCACGATTGGATATTGGCAATAATCAATATCCACATTTCTTTAATAATTTATAAACACACACTTTGTAACTTTAAACCGTTACGGAGTTTTTATCTGTCACGATTGGATATTGGCAATAATCAATACCCACATTGGTCAATAATTCCGAGGTGAGCCCTTCGATGCAGGAACCCCTCCGCTTTACTGGGAGTTACTGGGAGCACTGGGAGTTACTGGGAGTTACTGGGAGCACTGGGAGGGGTCACTGGGGGTCACTGGGAGCACTGGGAGTTACTGGGAGTTACTGGGAGCACTGGGAGTTACTGGGAGTTACTGGGAGCACTGGGAGGGGTCACTGGTTGTTACTGGGAGCACTGGGAGGGGTCACTGGGGGTCACTGGGAGCACTGGGAGGGGTCACTGGGAGTTACTGGGAGCACTGGGAGGGGTCACTGGGAGTTACTGGGAGCACTGGGAGGGGTCACTGGGGGTCACTGGTTCTTACTGGGACCACTGGGAGCTGTTACTGGTTTTTACTGGGAGCACTGGGAGGGGTCACTGGTTGTTACTGGGAGCACTGGGAGGGGTCACTGGTTGTTACTGGGAGCACTGGGAGGGGTCACTGGGGGTCACTGGGAGCACTGGGAGGGGTCACTGGGGGGTCACTGGGAGTTACTGGGAGCACTGGGAGGGGTCACTGGTTGTCACTGGGAGCACTGGGAGCTGTTACTGGTTGTTACTGGGAGCACTGGGAGTTGGGGGAGGGGCGGCCCCGCTGTCCCCTCCCCCCCCCGTTTCCGGCCCCTCCCCCAATGACGTCACTCGGCGGTCGTTAATTAATCAACCGTTAATTAATCACCCGTTAATTAATCAATCGTTAATTAAGGGCACTTTATTCGTCAGCCAGGCCCCGCCCCCTGCCCCGGGGTCACTCAGGGGTCAGTTGGTCACTCTGGGGTCACCCAGGGGTCACTCAGGGGTCAGTTGGTCACTCAGGGGTCACTCAGGGGTCACTTGGTCTCTCAGGTGTCGGTCACTTGGTGGTCAGTTGGTCACTTGGTGGTCAGTTGGTCACTCAGGGGTCATCCAGGGGTCACTCAGGGGTCACTTGGTCACTCCGGGGTCATCCAGGGGTCAATCAGGGGTCAGTTGGTCAGTCAGGGGTCACCCAGGGGTCACTCAGGGGTCAATCAGGGATCAGTTGGTCACTCCGGGGTCATCCAGGGGTCAATCAGGGGTCAGTTGGTCACTCAGGGGTCAGCTGGTCACTCGGGTCAGTTGGTCACTTGGTGGTCAGTTGGTCACTCGGGTCAGTTGGTCACTCAGGTGTCAGTTGGTCACTCGGGTCAGTTGGTCACTCAGGGGTCACTTGGTCTCTCAGGGGACAGTTGGTCCCTGGGGTGTCAAGGGGTCCCTCAATGGTCACTCAGTGGTCACTCAGCGGTCACTCATTGGTCAGTGTCACAGACAGGGTGTCCAAGGCGTGGTCAGCTGCATGGTCAGTTGGTCACTCATTGGTCAGTGTCACAGACGGGGTGTCCAAGGCGTGGTCAGCCAGGCGGTCCGTCGGTCACTCGTGGTCACTCCTGGTCACTCAGTGGTCACTCATTGGTCAGTGTCACAGACGGGGTGTCCATGGGGTGGTCAGTTGGTCACTCATTGGTCGGTGTCACAGACAGGGTGTCCATGGGGTGGTCAGTCGGTCACTCATTGGTCAGTGTCACAGACAGGGTGTCCATGGGGTGGTCAGTTGGTCACTCATTGGTCAGTGTCACTGATGGGATGTCCATGGGGTGGTCAGTTGGTCACTCATTGGTCAGTGTCACTGATGGGATGTCCATGGGGTGGTCAGTTGGTCACTCATTGGTCAGTGTGACAGAGGGGGTGTCCATGGGGTGGTCAGCCAGGTGGTCAATCGGTCACTCATTGGTCAGTGTGACAGAGGGGGGGTCCAAGGTGTGGTCAGCCAGGTGGTCAATCGGTCACTCATTGGTCAGTATCACAGATGGGGTGTCCAAGGCGTGGTCAGCTAGGCGGTCAGTTGGTCACTCATTGGTCAGTGTCACAGACAGGGTGTCCATGGGGTGGTCAGTTGGTCACTCATTGGTCAGTGTCACAGACAGGGTGTCCAAGGGGAGGTCAGCTGCATGGTCAGTCGGTCACTCATTGGTCAGTGTGACAGAGGGGGGGTCCAAGGCGTGGTCAGCCAGGTGGTCAGTTGGTCACTCATTGGTCAGTATCACAGACAGGGTGTCCATGGTGTGGTCACTCGGTCACTCATTGGTCAGTATCACAGACAGGGTGTCCATGGTGTGGTCACTCGGTCACTCGGTCACTCGGTCCCTCGCGGTCCCTCGCGGTCCCTCGCGGTCCCTCGCGGTCACTCGGCGGCCGCCGTCGCCCCGTCCTCGCCGTGGGGCCAGCGCAGGCACCACTGGCGGGCGTTGCGGAACATGCGCAGCCACGGCCCGTGGCCGGCGCTGCCCGCGGCGCCGCGGCCGGCCCAGGGGCTCTGCCAGGCGCGCACGGCGCGCTCGGGGTGCGGCATGGCGGCCAGGTGGCGGCCGCAGGGCGAGCAGAGCGCGGCCACGCCGCCGCCCGAGCCGCTGGGGTTCAGCGGGTACCGCTCGGTGGGCGCGCCGCCGTCGTCGGCGTAGCGCAGCGGCGCCAGCCCGGCCCGCACGCAGCGCTCGCGCGCCGACGGCGGCCGGAACTCGAAACGGCCTGCGGGGCGGAGAGACCCGTTAAACCAGTTATAAACCAGTTATAAACCA